CTCTCTCTCTCTCTCTCTCTCTCTCTCTCTCTCTCTCTCTCTCTCTCTCTCTCTCTCTCTCTCTCTCTCTCTCTCTCCCCCTCCCTCCCTCCCTGTATACACACACACATGGTGACACACCCCTATAAAAAATAAAAAACAATTGAGCACATCACTACTTTGCGCATGGCACATGGCGCACGCGCACCACACGGCGCACCGCAGAAGTGCGCCGCAAGTATGCTTTTGACCCCAACTCAGCGCGTGTGGTTTCTGTATGTGCAAATGCATGTACTCACACACACAACATGCATAGCAAGGCGGAGAGCTCTGCCAACACCTACATGCAAGCATGTCTACGTAAGGATGGCCATTACATTATGGCCGCAAAACATCACTGAAAGACACGCTAACTCTCACACGGCCATTGCCGCCAAAAAGCCATGACCATTCATTCCATTGGGAAGGACAGGTGACTGCATACATTGTAGAGCGGCGATAATCCTGAGCAGGCGACAAAGAAAGGAAAACAAAAAGCGATGGGATGGAAAAGAGGCAATCATCCTGAACAGAAAAGAGCCCAAGTGGGCTAGCTCAGTTGGTTGAGCACGTAAGTGGTATGCAGGAGGTCGTGGGTTCGATTCACCCCGTCGTCGTCCATTCGATCCCCCACGGCCCCTTGTGATGCGCTTCGGGTTCACCAGCGGAGATATTGGGCCTCCTGGCAGGTTGTGCAAGTTGGTTAGGCTTTCCAGCTCATGCCAGGTGTTAGAAGCCCGGGTACTGCTCCCAGCATAGAGCAGAATAGGCTGGGAAGGCTGGAAACTCAACCCATAACCTTGAGCATCCCCTGGAAAAAACTGGACATATATGTACGTAAGTAGGTAGAGTGAGGTATATGAGTGAAGAATATAGAATCAGTTTTCAGAGGGGGGCCGGGGGGAGAAGACAGACAGAAAAGAAAAACAAACATGGCATTGCAGAGAGACAGTAATCCTAAAGAGCAGCCAAAAGAAAAGTCGAACGGAAAACACAATCATGCAAACTGACACCGCTTTGCTGACCTGAGCTAGCACTTGCTCCAGGATCTCTGCACCTTTGAGGTAGAAGGCTCGCTCTAATTCCACCTGCACAAAAAAAGGAGATGTCATTTCATGAGAAATAACACTTGAGTCTTGATCACTGATCAGGGTAATAATCTAAAGAACGCCGACTCGGCGTCAAGGAAGCCAAGAAGGGGAGGCACTCGTATAGCCCATGCACACTTCCCCACAGTCCGTTCGGATCACAGCTCATGCACATCGCCGAAGTTCGTTCTGATCACAGCCCATCTTTTTTATTCTTTTATGTTCGTCTGGTTGCATCTGGATTTGAACTCAGGTCTGTATTTCAACAGCTCAAGGGTGTACCAGCTGAGCTATGATCACAGTCAACGCGATTCCACGTAGCTCTTTCCGATTCATTTGCAGACAGTTTACATAGTGAAACGGTATTCACCAATTCGTGGTAGCTGAGGTAGATCCCAGGGCTCGATCCCTAGTTTCCCAACTTACCTGTGTACAATACCAGCGTCAACTCGAAGAGTTGAACCTGCGACCTGTAGAACCGCCAGTGGTAGGTAGGTCTGTCRTAGGTCTACAGGTAGCCAGGATTCGATCCGTAGACCTATAGACTAGAAGGCTAGCTGCAGTCCTTCTAGAAGGTTGGCAAGTGGTGCAGGCAAGTGGTCAAGTGGTGCAGGCAAGTGGTCAAGTGGTGCAGGCAAGTGGTCAAGTGGTGCAGGCAAGTGGGCAAGTGGTGTGACTAAAGCAAGCCCATGTTGGAGAGAGTCTAGAAAATACCAGTCCGGTCCAGCAAGTACCACGGGGGGAACTGTGTGCACCATGGGCCAGGGACACAAGGCAGACCAATGCAGCACAGAAGTATAAATCAAGAGGCTGCGTCCATTCATTCATTCATTCCTGCGGATGCCATGCGGAAGCGCTGCCTAGCAGCTTGTGCGAGGAGGTCTGCAGAGTGCCCGAAGACGAAGTGGGCAGAGGAGTAGAGTGCAGCGATAGGTAGTGGCAGCTAGCGCTGCCATAGCTGTAGCCTAGCATGTGTGTGTGTGAAGTGTGATACTGAGTGTTGCGTGTGGGACATCCAGGGTGATCCAGAGTGCGAACAGTGAGTTGTGTGGGCGCTCAGTCGCCATAGCCAGTTTGAAGAGAACTCTTATGTGGATACGATATCTTGAGTACTGAGTGGGCGCCTGTCGCCAATTTGCTGTTTCGCTGTTTGCATACATGACAAGTTGAATACTCGTAGTGTGATTTCAATAGTAACAAATACTAACAAATTGTCAATTGTCACTACCGTCTTCACCCGAACACAACGCCCGGTCATTCTTGCTGCATCTGGACCGAAAGTTGCGCCAAATACAGATAGAATGACCAGGTGTCCTATTTGGGTGAAGACGGTAAGGGCAGAGAAGTGTCGCATGAACGCCAACATCCCCAGCTGTAACCAGGAACTGTCGCCGCAACTGCTCACGTTCATAAAGGATCGATCTGCTACAGGAGGGGATTGATCCTTGACAAACTGTAGCAGATTGATCCTTGAGTCAAGTGTGTTGCTGACTTTGCCAGTCTGACCAACAGAGCGCGCTGCTGAAGATCTAATTTGTGGAGATCTGCATTCAGGTTCGCTTTCTCAAAGAGTGGCCTTATATATTCCGGTAGAGAGGGAGTTGGGGATGGAGTAGGGTTAAGTTGATGCATGAGGGTGGCAAACTAGGGAGTGACTGAATGAGGGAGTTGGGGAAGGGGTAGGGTGAGGGTAATGGGTTAGTCTGGCAAACGAGGGAGTGACTGAATGTCCGACCACCATCCAGATTGAACGTCCTCCCGCCCTCCAGCACTGCACTCTAGAAGTCTGGTGACCTCTAAGTCCGGAAACGAGTACCGCAGGGATGTTTTGCTCAGTCGGGGGAAGGGAGCTGCTGCAGCTGCACCACCAGTCTTTGGTTTAGGGTCCAGCTCTTCCCACATAAGGTGGGGCCCCCTCTATTTCATGTGCTCTCCCTTCCGAACCATACAAAAGGTTCCATGCCGATCTGCAATCCAGAATAGAGGTCGCCAACCAGGAAACGACATGGTCTACCGGGTCTAGGCCTCGCAGTTTGGGCCCCTAAACCAAGGACTGGTGGTGCAGCTGCAGCAGCTCCCTCCCCCCCACCGAGCAAAACATGCCAGCGGTACTCGAGTCCTCTTCGAATCGTATGGTATAGTCACCTGAACCAGGTTCGCCAGACACAATCGTCTGTATGTAAAAGGACACCCCACCCCGAATAGGCACAACAGACAAAACTAGCTCCACCACTAACTAATGCGAAGAAAAGTCTCTCTGGCCTACAATGAACATCACCCGAACAAGACTCTCAAGATCCCTCCCTACGAACAGGCACACCAGGACAAGGTCTCGGAAAACCAATCAACATAACGGCAGCGAAATGCATTCACGGACATACCGAATAGATCAAGACTAAAAAAAAAACAAGAACAATGTTAAACCACCACTACCTCTGAGCCTCTTTTTGCCTCGGCAAAAAGAGCTGCGTGCCAACCTTTGCCAAAATGCTAGCGCGCCTTTTTTTTTTTTTTTTTTTTTACTTTTGGCTCGCGCAACCAGTCATTGTGTTCCAGTAACACCGTTCATCCCAAACCCCGAATGTTACATTCTTGATTCCCGATGTTGCCTGGGAAAGGTAGTGGTCGTTTTAAGCAGGGTTGCACACCCCGACGGTCGGCGGCCCTTGACTCGTCGGCTGCCGACCCGCTGACCGATCGGCTGGTCGGCACCTACCGGTTGGGGGTCGTCGGCACCCCGCAGGGGTCCAGAACCCGTAATAACACCACCAACAGCCCCATAGTGGTCCCCAATACCCCCATACACCCCCGCAACACCCTCAAACTACCCCCAACACCCTCATTACTCCCCCCACCCCATACCCCCTATACCCCCCCCTATACTCCAACCCCAACCCCCCCATACCCCCCCCATCCCCAAAAGTTTCTCAGGGGATTGGGGCTGTACTCAGAAAGCGCATTACAGCCCCCAACTCAGATTTGAAAAAAAATCAGTGGATGGTTGTTTTCTGACTGGTCGGCAGACTGCCGACCGGTCGGCCCTACTGGTCGGCTGCAACACGGTCGATGTTCGGGGTCGGCGGTCGGCAGGGATGCAACCCGGGGGGTTTAAGTCCAAAAACTACCTCTAAGGCAAAAACATGGGTGACGGCAAAGGTGCGGGCTTGGCCCCTCTAGAATATGTCCACGCCCTAGGCCCAGTGTGGCCAGGTCCACAATAGGCATATAGACCATGTTCTGTCACCACTTTTACGCCCCCTGTCGTTGAGTTGTTGACTTTTTCAACTCTTCCGATATTGCGGATCTCACACAGATGGAAGATTTTATCGGCAAAGGGCTGCCAAGGGGTCACGATTTGTCATACACGGGCCACGAGAAAAGCTGACAAGGGTGCAAACACTGCAAAGGCCTCAAAACAGGTCGTACAGGGGTCACGAGAAAAGCTGACGAGGGTTCAAAGGGCTGCAAAGGGCTCAAAATACTAAAATAGGTCATACACGGGTCACGAGAAAAGATGACGAGGATGTCCGGTGGAGGTGAAGGTAAGGCTGCCATAAGTGTTTGTCAATTACCATTGCAATGAGTCTTTGCAATGTGAGTTTCTGCTGCTGTGCTTCAACTGCAATTAGAGCAGATGCGGTTTCTTTTCCAAGGGTGGACAGTGTAGCAGCATACTCTTCCATTTTCATCTCTGCCTCCTGGATCTTGCTTGAAATTTCACCATCACCGCCACTTTCTCTTGCTCTCGATTGGCGACGATAAAGCTGATTCGCCTGCGCACCACAGCCACACCCACACAATCCCGCAATGAATCTAACCAAACTAGTAAACAAACTGAGTCACAGCTGTATTCGGATCTCTCGACCATAGCGGAGAGAAGCGTTGGGTCAATATAATCGATGCAATTGTTTTTTCAACGTTTTTGGTATAAAAAAAAAGAAGAAGTGGGTCACTAAGTTACCAGCAATTCCGACCAATATTAAACCAGCCTTCATGCCATGTGACTTTACTACCATCTTGCCCCGAACACAATACACCCTCATTATGACTGCACCGCACCGGAAAGATAGCCTGTATACATTCATTGCCTGGGTGCATTATGTTCGGGAGAAGACGGTAGGAATTTTTTTTGGCCCCGCATCATCAACCCTCAGTGTCATACGACTTCTTTAGTATGCAAAGTTTTGAAACAGAATGATACTAATCCCTATAAGACATAAGAGCACCGACTCAAAACCCTGCAAGGATGACGGTACAGGTCAGCAGCGACAAACCTCACAAACCAAAATGCCCACGGGCTATGACGCAGGGTTCACAAACCAATTTGTTTCAATGGGTTTCAATGGGTGCTGGCATATCCTGGCTCTTCTTGAACAACAGCACTGCAGTCAGATTTAACTGCCATCACATTCTCTCTCTCTCTCTCTCTCTCTCTCTCTCTCTCTCTCTCTCTCTCTCTCTCTCTCTCTCTCTCTCTCTCTC